GATTCATGGGTTCTGGGGACTGGGACATGCGCATCTTTGAACACTATTGCTACAGTCTGTGATCTTGCTCTTGGGGCACACTGACTGTAGGTCTGCTGCCCTCCAATGTGTACCCTATAGCCCACCTAGAGAGTCCTTTGGAAGAAGATGCTCCACAGCTAACATCTCTGTGTAACAGGGAGCACTCCAGCACTCAGGAGCCCAGAATAAAGCCATCACAAAACATGTGGCCTCAAGGATATCTCTCGCCCTGTCTGGTTACTCGTCCTGTCTTCTCTGTTGGATATACTCATGATCGCTCACAGACTAGCTCCCTGCAAGGAACTTACAGGGCCAATCCTGGCCTTAATCAAGCAGGAGTTGACTGCTCCAGCCTGACCTCTGAGGTTTGGCATCCAGTGACTAGCCCTTTTATCGCTTTGTGTTTCTATTCTGGGCCCTCAAGTTCGTGTCAAGTTCCTTATGTTATCTTGAGTTCTTTCTTTGAAACTGTTTTTTATTGCCTCTACCTGCCAGTCCAGGGTCCTGCCCCCAGGTTGGTGGTGGGGTCCTCCTTCTGAGAGATTTCCTATCTGCCTCTGTGGCTCTCTGGCCTTCTCCTGTCCCTATGGTCAGAGCTCCTCCTCCCCAAGCCCACCAGCTCTGCCTCAACACACTGGGCAGCTCCAGTGCTAGGCCCTGACTCTGTCCACGGAAAGGAGTGTCTCCTAAGAGATCCAACACAGTGCTCCCTTGAGTTAGAGCCAGAGTAGTACTGGAACATCTAAAACATGCAAATCAGGAAATCAGAGGCTCTGCTAGAGGAAAGGAGTTAGGATACTCCCCAGATCATCTTATTCACTTAAATACTCACCTAGGAATGACACAACACCTGCAACTTGTCAATGCACTTTAAAATCTATTATTTGTTCTGTATAAGAACCAGTGAGAGATAAATGCATCCATTATTAACACTAAATGACAGATGAGAAAAATGGGGTTGGAAAGGATAATAGGTCTACCAATGATTATACAACTAGTAAAGGCAAAGCTGGGGCCTGAGCACATATGTGAGTCCTGACTCCTAGGACAGTATCTTTCTTGCCACATGCTGTCCGTGAGTTCAGCCAGTAGATAGTCTCTGGTTGAGAATTTCTGGGTTGGAGGGACTGTGAATCTCACCTAGGCTCATAATCAAGCCGAGACTAGAACCTGCCTGGAAATGTGCTGCCCAGTAGTCAGTCAGCCTTCGCTTCAACAGCCCACACAGTCACATATTCCACCTTTAAGCATGTCTGAATACTAATAAATGCTTCTGTATCTGGAGCTCAGATTCTTCTCACCATGTGGCTTCTCTGGTTTATGCCACAAATGACATAATGACAGCAGCCCAATCTCACCTCCCATCTGGGCAGGACCTCCACCCCGAGGTCTGCTAACCTGTCAGCACATGGGGAGGGGTTGCTCCTCCTCATGCTTCTATCTTCACAGCATGAGCTAGAACAGAGATTCAGAAACACACTAACCTAGAAGACCTGGAACTGGTTTTTGCTCCAGCAGCTCTGCCAAGCAATCAGAAATTCTAGTAAACACGCACCCATCTGGAGAAGGCAACCAAACTGCAACTCTTTCTGCAGGAGACCCAGATGAAGCTTGATCAAAGTGCAGCTGGAGGATGAGGAAAGGTAGTGATTCACAGATCCCAGCTGCTCGCCCTCATATGATGGAGTAGCTGAGAGAAGGAACGAGCTGTGCTTCAATTACTCCTACCCAGAAATCACTACAGTCCAAAAGTCTGCTATTTGTGGCGGGGCTGCTTAAGCAGCATACCTGAGCAGGGTGATTGCTTCTCTCTCGCATCTTGATTCAATTGGTTGGGTTTTTTATGTTCTTTTTCTCTCCCTTTTGTTTTCATTACAGAAGAAATTTCAAGCCAGCCTGGTTGATTAAGCAGATCAGTTTCTAGACATGCCTAGGGCAGCCTGTCCACGTGGAGGGTGAGGTCCTACAGAAACTGCTGCTGAGTGTGGCTGCAGGGAGCAATGAGAGTCGGCCACTGGATCCCATTTGGGGAGCTGCTGTTGGCAGCTCAGGGAGCCCATGGCTTGGGTATTCTCTTCTGGTGCCTCTTGGTCTTTGTCCTGTACTTGCAGTAACTGAAGTCGTGCTTGAGACCAAGCATCAACGTCAGTCCTAGGTCTGGAATGTAGGTTCCTGATTTGCCCACCAAGCTTGGTTTCCTGCCCAGTACCCTTTTCTTGGACAGTAATGTCCTTCCACGGTCTTGACAGACTTTCCCTGGAACCCAGGCCTTCAGCAGGCCCCGCCAATTTTCCTAATGCCAGCACCCTGCTGGATCATCTGCAGATCCTGGTACCCACACACCCCATTGTTGGATGCCACCCTCCTATCAGACTTTCAACCTTTAACCCAGGCCAAACCTTCCAATGCCTGCCTCTGCTGTTAAGCCTCAGTAAACAATATCTCAAAAGGAAGAACTAAGTGGCAGCCTAAGAAGCAAATGTTTTCTCTGACCTTCTCCTTTCCTCCTGTCTCTCAGTCCTATTCTCCCCTGAGGCTAGCCATAGAGACTAGAGTCCCTCTTCCCCAAGTCAGGTCATAGAAAGCAGAACCCCTTCTCCCAAAATTAGACACAAAACCCAAAAGTATTACTCTCTAACTGTCCCTCTGCCCTATCTATATAAAACTGGCCATAAAAAAATGATCTGATCTGGGCATTCTTGTTTGACGATGGGCCATAAGACCCACGTTCCAGATAGGGTCTTGCCTCGCATCCAGAAAGAAGGAATGCTGCACAGAGAGGTCTAGAATAATCTACACAGACAGGCCTCACTGGGTTTCCTCACTCAGTCTGTTAGCATTAGATTGTATCCTTTTTATCCAATCATATTTCTACACGGCTGTCCATACTTTGCTGAACCTAAGCATAAAAATGGGCAATGTCCCCTGTATCTTTGGGTCTTCATTCTGAATGCTCCCAAGTATACACACTAAATAAATGTGTGTGCCTTTTCGCCTGTTAATCGATTTGCCTCACTTCTGATGACTCGCTTCCTCCAGCAGGGTGTCTAGCTTCCTCCATTTCCTGTCAGCAGCTGGGTTGACACTAGCTCAAGCCCAAGCCTGGGAACCAGTCTAGCTTCTCAGGACCTCCAAGTCTCTCTGGGGTTGCCACTTTCAAGATCTTGTCTGCTCAAAGCAGCTCAGAGGGAAGTATAGGAAAGAAAATGCTGCAGAAGGGGTGTGACCTAGACGAGAAAGGGGGTGTTGGCAAACGGCAACCCCAACCTGAGCCATGGCTGTCAGTGCCTTTTACACCACCACTCCCTAGTCCCTTCTTGCCTATCCAGAAACCTGATTTCAAGACAGAAAGGACCAGGCCATTCCTGTGGACAGCAGAGGCCAAGTCATGATGAGGTAAAGCCTGCACTTTGAGTGCTTTTGATCTTTCCTTTGATTCCCTATTGATGACAACTAACAAGTTACCCCAAGTTCTATTTACCACATCTAAGGGCATCTGAATTCAGGGAAAACAATCTGGTACTTGGTTGTCTTGAGACTGTATTTAAACTTACAATAAACTCTTTTTGCCATGTGGTGAATTTTTTTACAGAAATATCTCTCCCATTTGCTAATTGATGTGATAAACAAAGATATGCCTTCTCCTCTTCCTTTACTACCTTCAAAATTTAACAGTAATATTCTGCTTCAGCAGAAAGAACAAACGGCTAGTTACTCATTCATGGAAAACAGGTGAAAATTTTCCAGTGACTGTTTCTTTGAGGTGTCTATTTTAAGAGACTTGATGGGGAGCAGGTTACAAGGTGAACATCCAACCTTTTAGAGAGCAAGAATTGGGAGCTTCCTGACTGGCTGCTAGTTGAATGCCAACATGCAGTGTGTGCCCCCAACACACTGAGCTGGTCTCCAGACTTCAAGTGTTTTGCAAACCTATCCCAAGCCTGAATGTCATAGCCACCTTTGCAACAACAATGCTTTTTATTGAAACTGAGCAGAAAAATATAGCAAAAAAGATTCCTTGCTATTCTCCAGGTGAAAGAAAACATTTTTCTCAAGAAAAAGGTTGGGAAGTATAAGAGCCAAGCATTGTTGTAGACTCTCACCAATTTCCAAAATACCATTTAAAAAATAATTACACCCACAATTTATGCATGATTCATTAGACAGCAAGATAAAATGTACTGCCTAATTTTAATTGCACAAAAAGAGTAGGCATCATGAAATATATCCCTAACTTCTTGGGATTATAACCTGCTTGGTAACATCTTTGCCATAACATAACTCTTGTCCAAATAGTATATCTTGATTAAATTATAACAGCATTTTTAGTTTCATGATTTGATAGACCTCTGAAGAATTTATTTTAGTTAAGCAATTAGAAGGTCAAATAATCTGTTGTCAATATTTAAGCTTTTACTTGTGAAAGGTAATAGGCTTGCATCACAGGATCTCCTGCAAAGATGACAGGAATGTTATCTCAGGAAAAAAAAAAATTCAGATGTCTGCACACTAAAGTGGCTTTAAAGACTACAGTTTTCCTTTCTGTCCCTCCTGCCCCCACCCTCTGGTAAGAACAGATGATGCCCTGCACTGTATGGACATTGGTAGGGGATCTCCCCATTATATTATCCACCCTGATTGCACACTGAATCTAGAGAAAAATAGAATAGATATGACATCTTACATAATAAGTAATGAAATGATAGACAACATCTTGCAGGATGCACACAGGTCTCTGGCAGATGCAAGCTGCTGCCTTCCTTAATCTGAAGGAGTCAGACTGATAAAGAGCACCTGGAATTGCATTTAACATTGTCTTATGACAGCAAAGTCTGCAGGGGTCACCCACCCATTCCTTTAGACTTTGAGTGACAACTACCATTAAACACGGGTTCTGGCAACCACCTCCAAAGGAGGAGCAAAATTCATGTGACAGGAACAGTGCTTGATTTCCCCGTGATCACAGTTCACACACATACCTGTGGTCTTTAATGGGGTTTTTTCTCCTAGCAACAGTTTTAACCTTTTGGCGTGGATTTTGCCTTGATAATGTGAGTCGGCCACCACTGCGGAAGTGAAGGACATGTTGCAGAGGGTGCAGCACTTGTTCTTATCCACCATGTCAGCATCGCTTCCCTGTGGAACGAAGAAGACAGTGAGACAGAAGCCCAGGCCCTAAGGGTTCTTTCCCCATTCTACTCTTCTGCAAACGATACTGACCACAGACCAACTAGTATACTGAAATGTCTGGTTTTTGTTCACAGTCTCTTTTTTTCTTCATGATAATCATCGTCAAAACTTACTCAGTGACAGACTTTGACATTCACTTAGTGGCTACTAATGCCAGATACTGGGAATTCAGGGCACTTTTGCAGAGATGAGTTACCCAAAGAGAAAAGGGGCCCACAATTAGGCAAGAGCACTTTGTGTCTGGCACCATGAGGGAAAGCAGTCTCTAATTGGATCCATTATACTCATTAAAGTAAGTAAAATATCAGAGTTCAGATGACCTAAATTATTTAGGAGAAATTATCATTTGGCATTCAGCTCTGCTTCTGACCAATTTTAGCCTCACCAGCATATATGGCTGGGATGTCCAAGATATTTTCTTTTTAAGATTTCTTTAAATAATGGAACATTTTTCATAATTAACTTGAGTCTATATCATAAAGCTATGATGGTCGTGCTGGCTGGATATTCTGGGATAGTTTGTGTAATTTTCCTTTTCTTCAGGAAAGGCGATTCATTAAATGCTGCACAAAATGCTTAAATCCAGCTGAATTTTTATTCCTTTGTAAGACTTAATGAAAATGAATCATAATTCAGAAAAAAATAAATCCTTGGTCAGACGTGACCTGCTATTGTGCTCACAGGTCATCAATTACCTCTACTTATAAAGGGAAGATTAATACACTGCTTTCTCTCCTGCTTAGTTAGACATAGAGGGAGGCAGCCTCTTCGATAAGAAGTTCATCTAGTCCTTAACGAAGCAGCTATAGCAAAGCACTTCTATGTTAAAAAGCAGCCTTGGAGGAGTACATGGCCTCACGACAGACCCTTCTCTTATTCCTGGTGGATCTCTAAAGAGTACAATTTAAAATCGGATGGGGAGGAGAATGCAAGTGGGAATGGGATGGAGGAAAGGAATTACATATTTTATCTGCATAATAATAAGATGTCCAGACTGCTGGAAAGAGTGTTGCCTTGCAAATTATGTGGTAGTTAGAAAATGAGCTCCTCCCTCCTTAAGATGTTAGTTATTAATATCTCTGGTAATTAGAATTTCATCCTAGGAAAGAGTAGAGTGTGCGTGTGTGTGTGTGTGTGTGTGTGTGTGTGTGTGTGTGTGCGCGCGCGTGTGTGTGTGCATGTGTGTGCGTGTGTGTGTGTGTGTGTGTGTACATGCACACATCTGTGTGTATGTGTGTCTCCCAGGAGCAGGAGGAGGGAAGAGAGCCACTTCAAATGTTAGGCATGTAGGGAGATGGTCAGCAAGAGGAAATGAGTCCTCTGGAGAAAGGAGGAGCTTTTCTAAAGGTCCTCTCCTGGCAGGGAATCTGGTAGGCACTGAAGCTGTGCCTGTTGGTAATACCCTTGCGGAGGATTTAAAACCAACAGACATGCTTTAAGTTTTCTCCTCAGGGAAAACATAAAAAGCATAAACACTTGTACACCTCTGTGTAGAATACTGTGGAAATGAAGTGGACCCTGCAGAAAAGGGCAGGGTTGGCTTCCTAGCGCCCCTACTCCCCACTCACCCACCTAGGAGATGGCATAGAAGCCCATGGTACAGGTATAGCCCAGGAACACCAGGAAGTGGCAAGTCAGAAAGTTACTGAGGGTTCAAACCCCTTAAATGAGAATTGGGTAGCTCAAGAAGAATACAAGAACAGAACTGGTGCTTCCTACTGTATGTCAGAGAATACATACTCATGTTACGTTTTTTATTTTTATACATTTAAGGGGTACAAGGGCACTTTTTTGACATGAATACATTGCATAATGGTGAAGTCTGGGTTTTTAGTGTAACAAAGAACTAAAAATAGAACTACCATTAGATCCAGCAATCCCACCACTGGGTATCTACCCAAGGAAAAGAAATCATTATAATCAAAAGGCTACCTACAGTCATATGTTTATCACAGCACTATTCAAAATAGCAAAGCTATGGAATGCTCATCAACAGATGACTACATAAATAAAATATGGCCTGCTATTGTACTCAATGAAATACTACTCAGCTATTTTTAAAAAATGAAATCAAGTATTACATTTGCTCAAAAAAAGGAAGACTTCCAAGGTGAAAATGATGTTTGAATTATCATATATTTTACCTACTTATGCATGATATAAGTCAAAGCATGTAATTTTTAAAAATTAGGAACAAGTTCATAAGTCAGAGCATAACCCACAATCCATATCTTGTTAGAATCTGTGCCCCACTTCTACTGCTCCCAGAGAAAGTTCCAGCTAATGCTTGCCTTTCTCCCCGAAGCTCTAACATGTAGAAATTTCTAAAGAAAGGCTGGACGGGGCTGTTATCACTATGCAAAGTGAATGAGAACTAGTTTCCCAGGCAAAGAATGGCCCTTACACTGGACAATGACCAATGGATGTTTGCCATTCATTTATCCAACACTTTCTTAAGACCTACTAATTGTGTCAGAAGCTATGCTAGAAGAGTATGACTCCAACCCTGTTACCAAGGAAACTGGCACCAAAAGCATTGAAGAAGCAGACAGAAAATAAGGGGAAGTATTATAATCAAGGAAATACAGTCCCATGTTAGACACACACAAATCCCGACTGTAAGATAAAAGGATCATTAACATAAATAAGATCTAGATTTTCATCTTCAAGCCTTTCTCAGGCCTGGAACACCTTCCTCATCACTTCTTGTCTAGTCCAGTCTCACCGGAATCTTTCTTCATGCCTCAGCACTTCCTTGTGGTGAAGTTTCTTAGGACCCCACCCCACCAACTGTCTTGCAGAAATGAGAAAGAGCCTTTGGACCCCATGTTTGTCCTATACATTATTTTTAAATAAACACTGAATTATTGCATTTATTTGTTTTCATAATATGTCCACTTCATGAGACTGCAAAAATATGTTTAAGGTCACCTCATTGATAGTGAGGACCCCACATCTAGCACCATGCTTACCACACAGGAAGACCTTCAAATGTGCACTGAACAAATGGAACAGAGTGCTAGCTTGTATGGCTAATAACTTGCATGACATAAAACTTAAGAGAGGAGACAGGTAACACAGTTAGTCTAGTTGCAAGCCAAAATGTTTTAGACTGGCAGGAAGATGGTCAGGTAAATAGCTAGAGGTGACAACAATTTCTAAATTAACTTGAGAGTTCAAGTGAAGAACACATTAGTTGCATGATGGTAGTTTTAGTATATATTCCTGGATTTCTGTTCTCCTGGGCAATATCACTCATATTATCATAAAGAAGAATCGAAAAATAATAGAAGAGTAGAGTCAATTGTTACTATAAAGTATCACAGGACACAGTTATGCCATAGTTATGGAAGAAGAACCAACTAGCAATAGAGGGGCTGTGATGCCCTGAGAAGCTAGGCAGCCTTCAGGCCAAGAGGACACACTTTACGGTATATTTATTACTAAAAGGGATAATGTAACTCACACGATGAAATTGTAAATTCTGCTAGCTCTGACTACTCTAATGATCCTGATGAAGACACAACTACTCAGAAATTTAATTGAGTACTCTTAGCAATCTAAATCTCAAATGAATGACTCCTTGCAGCTATAGATCATATCACCTGCTATGGTTTGAATGTGTCCCTCAGTGTTCATGTGCTGGAAACTTAATCCCCATTGCAACAGTTTTGAGAGGTAGAACCTTTAAGAGGGGATACAGGTCATGAAAGCTGTACCCTCATAAATGAATTAATGCTATAATCCAGCAAGTGGACTTGTTGGCATGAGAGTAGGATTGTTATAAAAACAAATTTGGCCCTCCTTTGTTCTCTCATGTGATACCTTCCACCATTTTATGAAACAACAAGAAGGCCCTCACCAGATGAGACCCCGCACCCTTAGATTTCCCAGCCAAATAAATTTCCATTCTTTATAAAATACCCAGGTGTGGTATTCTGCTATAACAGCACAAAACAGACTAAGACATCACCCTCTTTAGAGTAGTCTGTTGCATGCAGAGAAAGGCTGATATAAGACCCAGGGTAGACACATCAAATTTGATGAACTGACCTCAATGAACACATTTAAAGTCTCTAGCTTAAAGAACTGAGAAAAGCCCTAGGCTATCAAGTGAATAAAGGGAGAATCTAAGATTATCTTAAAATATAGGTTTTAAACTGGAGGCAAAAATTCAGTCAGACTTTTAAATGCAATGTCCACAGTGCTGAAAGCAAGACAAAAAAGTTTATGGAGTATCCTAAGGCTGCTTAGTCAAAGCATTTTGCAAAGTTAAGAAGTTTTCAGAATTCAGTCAGGATGGAAAACCCTGTAACTCTGGGTAGAAATCTAGCCCCAAAAGACCTTTCTCTTTTTTATAAGGATTTTTTTTAACTTAATTCAGATGATTGTCTTCACTCTCTTTTACTTTGTTAAATGAAGTAAGAAGTCTAAGAGAGAGACTTTCATTTCCAGAATGGCAGAGAAGGGCTGTAAAACCCTTTATGGAAAAGATGCACATGTTAGATATGCTTCATTCAGGCATGATTAATCATGCTGTTGGTCTTGAGCTCAGTGCTAATCAATCAATAGTGCTGCATATCCAGAAGAAGAAAGAGGAAATTCACGGATCTGTATGTGAGCCCACTCCAGAAAATACTAAAGAATGAAGCTATGAAAAAGATGGAAAAGTGTCCACATGTGTGAATTCCTATGCTAACAATGGATAAAAATAACATGGTAGACAACATCCTTGTGAGGCCAAGAACCAAAGAAACTTACAGTTGTGTTACTCAGGGATTCAGTGTATTATTATAAAGAAATACCACATATAATCATTTATGATTAAATAAGGTATCTTTAAACAGAAACACAAATAACAAAGTTATATATTAATCAGCTGACAAAAATGTTGTGGACAGAGGCCCCCAATACCTCACTTTGCCTTTTACCAAGGAGTGGTGGC